TTCAGCAGGCTATGGACTTTGGTAGTCTGGCAGAAAGTTGACTTCTCAGTGTCTTTTGAAAATGGGACTGGTGTGCTTAAGTCACCAGGTTACTCTGAGCCTTCAAACTTCTGTGTTTTTAACAGCCCCTCTTTACCCTTCCAAAAAGTCTTTGAAAGCTAAATTTCAACTAGAAGAACTGGTGGGAAAAAATCCTAAAATTAAACTGCTTAACCCCAAAGAACACATCTTGGACATTAGAGAAAAAGAAAGTTCCTTAGGTTTCAGAAGTTCAGTGAGAGAAAAAAAACCTAGCTGGCAAGTGTAACATGAAACAATGGATCCATGAAACCTGATGGCACCATATGTAGGTTCTGCAGCTGTTTCTAGCCTTCCTTCCAATATCATCGTCATGGAATTGAAATGGACTTTAGTCCATGGTTATGGTTCAGTACATGTTCCAAGGCTGTTGCTCGACTAGAGACTAACTTGACTTAATTTGACTGCTGGTGTATCTGTATTCATGCTGGGTTTGCTTTAGCTTAATTCTGCGGGGAGGGAAGAGGAAACTTTCTTTTTTCTTGCTAGTTTGCATTGCTTAATTGTTTGAACTGGTAGCAAAGTGCTCTAACACTAGTGGTGTACAAAAGACTATGATTTTACAAGTTCGGAGACATTTTTAAAAGCTCTCTATAAAACTCATTGCCATGAATTTTATTTTCTGACGTGATTTTTCTTTTTTTTTCTTTTTTTCCCTTCTTTTACTTTTTTCTTTTTTTTTTTTTTTTGCAATGCAGTTACAGAACACACAGATTGTAGAAACTGATTTTGATTCTGACCAGAGCATTCATCTTAACCTGTTTGTCAAGTGAAACAGAGGATAAGGGCTGACTTTTTTAGCCAGCTACATTGACTGCGATACTTGAGCTTGGCTTTCCTCTCACGCTGCTGTAATTTGAGTAGTTCTACTGAAATTGATCCACTGATAACAAATTAAAACAATAAGAAATAAGAAATGGTTTGGGTAAATAGCATGTACGTATCAGGTCTCTGCAAGTTTGTTTAATTGATGTTGTGTGCTCTTAAGAGCTGCCTTGCTAACCTGCCTGAAAACAAAACCTCCAAAATCCAGTGATTTGGAAAGAAGCTGCACTGCATGTAACACAACATAAAATATAAAAGCTGGGTAAGGCGTTGTCTCTCTAGATTAGGTTTACAGCAGAAGACGAGTCATGCCAAAAACACTTGTGTCAGTGGTTTGCGTCCAATGTTGGTTTGTTTTGTTTTTTTTTTCCTCTTAAAGCTAATGAAAAGGACTACACACATGGGAGAGCTTGAAGGGCTGCCTCCAGTTAGACAAAGCTCTCATTGCTGAATAATGGGGCTTTCAAAACTACTTTGAAGTTGTCCTCATTCCATTCCCCTGGAAGCCGTAGCAAGTTTTATTTTAAGGGAAGAGTCTTAACATGAGCATTCTGAAATGCTCACTCAGTAAATAATGGGCTTGATATAAAGGTTGGACTTGAAAAATAAAATATATATGAATTTCCAAGGTTTGGGTTGGTTTTTTTTTTCATTAAAGTATTTTTATTATAAACTATTTGTAGTGTCCTGTATTACATTTTTTTTCCTGTCTCTTCTGTTAGGAAATCCAAGCTTTAAAACAAAAAAAGCTTTAAAATGTGTAGTTGTTCAACACTGTATTCCTTCACGGTGATCTGTTGCCTGGAAAAGGATTTTGGTAGTTCTTCAACCGCAAGACCTTGAAGTAGAATTGAATAGGACATTAATTTAAAACTGGATACATCCTATCCTTTTACCGGTACCCTGCATTTGTAACGCTGGGAGGGAAGTCTTAGGGAGGTATTATTATTTGTATACATCTTTAAATCTCTTAACAAAATTTCTCACCCTTTTTATCCAGCAAGGAAAATCAAAGAATTAAAACAGTCACAAACATCCCTGTAGAATACACTTTACAATTATTTTGTTCAGTCATTTTAGAAGTGTGTGAAAAGAGGAGACTACTTTGTATTTCATCCTGTGAACCGTGTCGTTTCTTTAGGAGTAAACAAACTTTATTTGATAGAACCAGGGACAATATGCACTGAGAATGACTTAGAAGTTGTAGGTTACAGATGAGATTGTTATTTTTTCCACTGCCCAAGATGTAGGGCCAAGAAAAGAGTATATTTCTTTGTAGGATTAGACCCAATCTTTTAAACCCCACCTTCCACTTTGAGCTTTTTTCTTCATTTGCTAGAAAGGTGAAGAAGCTATTGATGCTATTCAGTTCGGAGAAATTGGCGATGAATAAGATGTGTCAAATACTGCTTTAATCCTTCAGTAAGACTCTTGTCAGTCGGAGAAGACTGGTGACATGTCCTGTTTGTGCTAAATATGCTATTCCAAGATGAAATCTGCTGTGCAGTGTGCAACATAAAAGTTAACAAAAGCATCCAGCTGATAGTTTTAAGTCAGATCATGATTGTTATCACATGCAACATCAATGCAGGACAAGACACAAATCAGTTTGCTATCTGCATTTGGCATTTTCAGTTGCTTTCACAGGCATCTATAGAACATTGAACTTTGCCAGGCAGTCAGGAACCTGTATTACATACATCTCTTTGCATTGCTGTATTTTTTTAGCTCTTTACGCTTCATCAGTGCTTCCTCAACAGTCCTAAAATTAAGTTAATTGTCTTTTTGAGCTTGCTGTCCCATGTTTTTAATTTTAAACTAAGATTGCTTTTGGCATTTTTGGAAAGAAGTTATCATGCTATGTCACGAGTCAAATTCACTGCGAACTACACTCCTACAGAAACCCAGGTATCTACCACAATGATGAGGCAGCCATACAATTGAGGAAAAGCATTTTCTAGCACTTTCCAGAGCTTAGATTCAAAGAACTACCTCTCTTATTTAGAATTTGATTGGATTTGTGGTGGCTTTTGGTTTCCTGCCAGTATGTATTCTGTGGACACGGGCAAAATGCTGCTGAGATCTTTACGTCCTCAGTGGGTGAGTTTTGCTAGTGTGGTAGTGTGTTCTGTTGTGATAAGAACAGCATTATCAACCATGGTCATCAGCCTGTGCTTCCAGAATAGGTATCCTGCTCCAGCTCATGGTGGATTGGTATCAGCAGTGATTTCACAGAAGCCATTTCTAAGAAGAAGTGACCATCTCATAACTTAATTAAAAAGTAAAATCTTCATTTTAATATGGAAGCTTCTCTTAATTAAGAATAGCAGAAGGTGACTCACAGGTTTTGAGGGAAAAGTATTTGCAAGATCCTTATTAGCAGATTCAAAAAACTAATTATGTTGAATTTAAGTGTCAAAACTAAACTAAAGATGCACTTTTTCAAGCAATCATGTTTCCTGTTTGTAGATTTACTACTATATGACTGCATATATTTCTGTTTGTATATTAATATAAAAATGTATTAAGGCCTCGATCTGCTCATCATGCTCATTGTGCCTCCTCAGTTATTAATACTGCCTGTAAGCTTTGTTCCAGTTGACCTTTAGAAGTGTCCAAAAGTTACAGTTTGCAATTCAGCAAGTTTGGCAGAGGAACATACAGGATTATTCATATCATTGTTTAAAAGGTAGCCAGATGTGTATTGTTTTTCTTCTTTCTTTCTTTCCCATTGTTTTTAAAAAGTAATGTTAATCCAAGATGTTAATCCATTTACAGGGTTTCTCCACAGCACCGAATTCCCCTTCGGTGAATTCTCGTTCCAGTAGCCTGGGTCCATCACTGTCCCTTGGTAACATCTCAGGAATGACAGCAAACCCAGAAGTGAAAAAGCGCAGAGCACCTCCTCCACCAGTTGTGACACCTGCATTGCAGAATGTGGAGATGAGTGGACAAGAAAAGACAGCAGCACAGGTAACGGTCACAGCACAGAATGGGCTTCTTTGCTTGATGTGCTGGCTACCATCAGTTCATTCATTGGAGCTGAAGTCATTCACAGATATTTTGGCTAAGCCATGAACTACAGCTCAGCAAAACTCTTGATCTTAGAAATGAAAACTATCAGAAGTCTTGGAGTTTTGTACATGCTTACTGAGCTTTCTTGAGACTGCCCCTACCTTTCTCACATGTCAAGAATCTTTCTAAATCAGAAAAGTTTTTTGAGGCATTACTCTAAAAGAAGGAGAGAGAAGAAAAAGTGAGACAGAAAAGCTGGAAATTATATAGGGTGACTGGGTATCCTTATTGTCCAGAGAAGTCCTGGAAAATGGGTGACAGTTCTAGTGACTGCGAAAATCTTCAGCGTGCTGTTTTGCCCAGATACCTGTCAGGCTGTCGCCTGCATCCCTATTTCCAGTGCTGCTGTGGGATACCACAAGATCTGCTCAGCTTTCTGTGTTGTGCCATGTGACCTTTTAAAGCAGTGCTCTGTTTTTGCTTTTAAAAAAGGTCACTGTTCCGCAATACAGTTATCGAGTATTAAACAGAAACGGGGGGAAACCTTTCTGAGGACCTAACCCTTTGAAAAGAGTAGAGTTAAGGGAAAAGAAAATGTTCTTGTTTTTATAGTGACATTCAGGTATGTATGTTACTAAACATGCGCAAGCACAATAAGACTTCTGGTTCCACCACCAATAAAAAAGTATTACATTCTAAATGTAAACTGTAAAAGTCAGCATGTAAAGCTATATATGGATGCCAAATAAGAATGCAAGGAACAAATACCTTCAAAGTTGTGTAATGTGGACTGACTCTAACTGCTTAGGGCTTGTCACCTCAGCAGACTGATTTTTGGAAAGCAAATTGTGTTCGTGCAAAATGGAGTCAGGAAGGAGTCTCAGAGTTCAGTATAGGGGAGGAGGTGGATTCTAGTGCTCAGTCTCACTCCCTGTCACTCTTTTATTTCTCTGCATTAAGACACACGTTAAGTGCCTTCTGCAGTGAAACATTGTGTAAGCAACGCTGATGCACACTTTTGGTAAAGGATTGTGGAATCTTATTTTCCCATTTTTAGGATATCTAAAAGTGTGATTGCTGGAACATAGTGGTGCTTCATCTTTCAAAATTGGAATAGGTGCCCTTGAAACAGCATTCATTTATAGACACAGCTGAAGAGAAACAACGTTTTCATGCAATGTTTGGTGCACTTATTTTTTTAAAAATTCCTTTTGAAGTTCCTACTGTAAATATTTTGAGGAGGTTTCTTGTGTCTCCCAGAGTTAAACATTTAATGTGTTTAAGATAAATAGCTCTTTTCATACAAAAATATTGTGTCATTATAACTCTTAAGTTTATACAGGTGTGGTAATCACACACTATATTATTCTGCCATTCTCTTAGGCTTATCTCCATGCAGTGTGGCACTGAAATATTAAATTGTATTGCACGAAACCGCTGATAATCTAAACTCTCTTTAAATGAGTTAACTTTTCTATTTTCAGCATTCTTGCAAATAGATTAAAGCACTGGATTTCTGAAGCCATTAGGAGAAAAATATTTATTTTATTTATCACAAGTAGAATACAGTACAGTGTCAACTTCAAATTCTCTTAGTCTAAAGGAAAAGCTATTTTGAAGAAGGGAAACAGATGAAGGTTGCGTCAGAGAATTTTCCGTGACAGAGTTAATTTTGGGCAATAGAAATGTCTTGTGTAGCTGACAAAGCCAATGCAGAGCACAGTAGATTATGAGCACAGTTGCTGGGCTCTTTTTGGCTGCATTTCATGGGTAACGGACATCTTTCTGAAAGTGGTTCCATAGGTCAAAATATTAAACAGCTTCTGAAAGTTGCTCACAGGCTGCCCTGTAGTTCAAACAAGAATGTGTGGGGTACGGTTGAAATGAAGCAATCAAAAACCGAGGGGAGAGATTAATTATTCAGTATTATGTGGCAAGGTAGCAACAGGGATATTGTTTATAAGAAAACCCAAACAGTTCTATTTTATCTACGTGCAGGCTATCCAGTTTGCTGTGAAAATAGAGTAAAAAAATCTCAGGGTGTAAGTTTATTTCTTTAGTTTATGGGAAAGAATTAGCACTGATCTTTTTTTTCAGGGAAGGACGTCAATTCCTTATTAATGGACTTCCTTCCATAAAAAGATAAGATGTTTGTTTAGAAAACTTTATTTATGTGCAACTGTTACTAACAGGAAGATCCTGCAAAAGGGGAACATGTTTATTTCCAGTAGCACATTAATAGAAAATGAAAAAGGTGGTATTCTGAACTTTCAGAAGTTTTCTTTTTTAACTATCTGGTTCTATAAAGTTGTGGAGAAAAGCACATACTGTAGCTGTTACGAATACCTGTAGTTTGACTTTCCAACCCCATAAGCCTGTTATTTTTAACTCATTTTTAAGCTCCAGGGCATTCAAATTTCTTTACAGCATAGATGATGCTTTAGGAATATCTATCTCATCTCCCTGCCTAGTGGTTGCAGTCAAAAATTTCCATATGTATGAAGACTGGGGAGTTTTAATTTATGCTTAAGATTTAGATTTTCTCCACTCACTTTTCTGGATAGGTGGATTACTGCAATATAATTTTCCCATATTGCAGCTTTTGTTTCTGTGGGGCTTACAGTAATTTACCTCCTTGAGGGTAAGGCCCCTGCAGCAACTTTAATTACTTTTTAGTGCAGCATCATTAGTTTTCCATGTCTGTTTAGAGGTAATGTTCACTCTATAATTGTTTTAAATCTCCTCTAGAAAATCCTCATTTCTGTTTAGAGCACAATTGAGCAATGTTTCAGAGTGTGTTGAACATGCACTAAGTAGTTTCCAAATGAATGCAGAGTCAAAGAAAGGAGTCTACAAATTTTTTCCCTGGACAGTTCCCCCCTGTATTTTTAAACATCTCCCAAGTTACGCTATTTAGAATAATGAGAAGTCAGTTGAAAAAATATTCTTCAAAAGACCAGGGTATGGTAACACCTCCAGTGTGAAATCTAGAAGGTTAGATGCTTTAGCAGAAGGAGGTGCCCTCCTTTCTTCAGTTGCACCACAGAGCGCACACCATCCAGAGAGCAGAGCAGAACACTGTAGAGGGTGAGCAAAAACTGAACCCCCCCAAAAACTGAACCAATCTCTGTTCCCTGTCACAGCACTTCAGATGATGTGTGAGCAGAATTTGGGCCATCTTTCGGCAGGCATAGGGTAAACTGAGTCCCCACGCAAAAAACCATGCACCATATAGACAAAATATTTGAGAAAACTGTATGAGTATACCATTGTAGATAGAGCACACAGAGAAAAGCCACATGTGAAGTCTGACAGAACTAAACACACCTCCTCAGAGGTTTATTCATTGACCTCTTTTTAAAAGAAAAATAAGTGTGTTTGGGTAATTTCTTGGAAGAACTGTAGAATTGAATGTTTGAGTCTTTTGGAGGTCAAGTGTATTGTGTGAATTAGTTTATGGGAATAATTGCTCTTTTTGTGTGTGTGTGTGTGTATGGAGAAACTGGAGTGAGGGGGGATAAAGAAGGCCTCAGTGACTTTCTGTAAGAGACTTTTCTATGAAAAGTAGTTTATTTAGAATGAAATCATGAGGCTCTTTGGAGACAACATCAGAATTAAAAGAGGGCTCTTCAGTGCCTTCATCTCTGTAATAGCTCTGATGTCAACTCCAAAAGCCAGAAATGCAACTTGTAGACTGCGATAAAGGAGCCATGTGCTGTTTCAGCTGCTGCGATTTTCAGAACAGAAGCACTTTCATATAATATGTAGATGTAACAGGAGGCATTTGAGATTTGTTACTAGCCAGTTAAATTCCTGTACTAATAGAAGAGCAGGGCAATATAACAAATAAAAGATTCTAACATTGGTTTTGTAGATTTTAATCTTAGTTGCAATATTGCAAGACAGTGGGTTTAAATAAAAATCGTATTGTTACTTTTAGTACTAGTGACGAACTGTCCTCATACTTTCAGAAGCTACCACTATAAAAAAACACAGTTTTCAGGTTTATTTCCATGTTTATATAGTTTGCTGGAGGCTGCTGTAAACAAACTAGTGTATGTAGCATACTGTGGGGTTTGCCCTGCTTCTTACGTTCCTCTCCTCTCCATTTAGGTCTCAAACTTGCATTGCTGAGGACAGTTGTTGACTCCCCATTCTTGGTCAATGCCATACCTTTAGAGCAGACTACTTCCACCCAGCATTTTATCGAGGCTGATATTAAGAATAACTTAGTAATTAAAAAGACTTACTCATATGAATAAAAAGGAATATTGCAGCCTAAGAGAGTAATAGTCTTGCTCAGATCATTACTGGCAGGTTTCTTTCTCCCTACCTCTGTTTTATTTTTTACCAATTTTATGTCTAAATGAGAAGTTCAGCTTTTAAGAGAATCATTTTAACATGAACAAATATAAATGAGACTTTCCTATCTTTCCTGGAGAAAGTAAGGTACTCACACTAAAAATTTGCTAGATTTCTAGTTTATATAGAAAAGATACTTTCACTATTTGCTGTACATCTTATTAAACAGAAGGAAATGCAGAGGAAACATTATTTTTGCCATCTCAGTTGATAATTTCTAATACTGACCACTACATGGTTTTTTTCTTCTTTAGTTTTTGGGATTTTTTTCATTTTCAAGTGTTTCTGTACTCATGTTGGAGACGGCAGCTTCCTGCAATGCATGTTCCCCTGTTCCAGTGCATATTGCGCTTAAAAGAGTTCTGATTCTGCTGGTAATCGGTAACAGGAGTGCTGTGGAGCTGGCAGGACACTGGGTTAGGCATCCTAGCCATTTAGTAGCATTTTCATGCCTTCTGTAGGGATGCCTTTTTCACAACAGAATTTGTGTTACAGTACTATTCGCTGTCCTCTTATATATAAACCAATATAAATAGAACGCATAAGTGATTGAAAGCTTAAGTCCCCTCTGGTTGACTGAGCATATTAATAGTTTG